TGAATTGGGCCTTCAGAGACTCTGTTTTGGAAGTTGGACAAGGGACAGCTTTCAAATATAATAATTTTATTTAATAATCAAATTGCTGTACTGTCCATCATACTTGTGTGATTCTGGCTGTTTACCTCCAACATCATACCTCCATTATAAAATAACTTTTTATGCAATGTTTGGTAGTTAGTGATGTAAATAAAAATAGATCTAATTCTGACTCAGAAACTTGAGTGCTATTGCCATATGTTGTGATTTGAGGTTTTTCTCCAGTCTGAAACCATCCAACTGTTGGACTTTAGTTCCCATAATAACAGTAATCACTTTGGATGATTTATTCATTCTCTTTCCAATCTATTTTTACTTTTTAAAATTAAAATTATAATATTAAATACAAATGTAAATAAAGATGATAGAAAATGGAAGAGAGAAAGAAAAGGTGTAGATATGGGGGAGTGGGAGGAGAGAAAACAAAAGCATTCACTTCCAATATTTTTCAGTGCAATAAAATACAGAATAAAATTGCCACTTCAACTTTTTACCTTACCAACTTAATAAATATTAGCCATTTCTATAACAACAAACTATATTAATCAGCAAAGCCTAATGTCAAGTATTCATTTTTTTTCTGTCTCGAGCACAAAATCCAGAAACAGTTGCCAAGCAAAAACAGAGCTGGATATGTTCTTTTCTCTAATTAAAACAATCAGTTTTTCCATTTCTACTAACTCCATCACTTTTTCCATCTATTCTTCTGTGCAGACAACTGTAGGGATTGATATATCTTTCTATTGCTGTGCATATAGAATTCTTGCTGCAGTCGACATATACAATAACAAAGCTCCAAATCTTTTGCCCAGCTGCTTATCTAATAATTCTAAAAGAAAAACTTCAGGTTTCGATTTTATGCTAGTTTTAAAAATCTGCATTATAAAATGAATGAACCCAGTATTTCTTTGCTTTATTACAAATCCACCAAAGATGATAAAAATTACCTTCTTTAGATTCATCCTTCTAACATACATTTTCTAATCTATCTAGAAATGTTTTGTTAAGCCCTGTTCTACAATAACATCAATTATAAAATTGCAAACACTTTCAAGGGACTTTATTCTTCATTTTGATAATCACAAAGCAATGCTTGTGTATATAAATCTGTTAGACTGAACATGCAAAAGTTCTTGCTTCTAAATTACATTTAAAAAAAAAGAGTTCATGTAATGCAAAGCTAATTAGGTGAAGCTTGAAAGATCCCTGCCATATGAGCCTTTGAAGAGCATCCTTTCTATACTTCCATTGAAATCCACATCTAATATCAGGCCAAAGGGAAATTGATTATACCAGTTATAAAACAGGCATAAAATCCAATGTATTTGTCCAACAAAATAAACAACAATATAAATAAAAAATTATAACATCTGTATTGTAGAGACACACATCAATAGGAATTGGGAAATTTTATACAAAATAAATAAAGTAGCTTATCTTTGGATCTCCAGACATCTTGCATATAGCATTTTCAAGAGAGAATAAGTAGGACAGTGGTATTCAAAGTGAAGATCATGTTTTATTGATAGGTATTGTGTTGCCATTACCTGAGTCCGTTTAAAACATGAAGACAGGCATGTAATATGATGGGATTTCTTTGCTACCAAAGCTGATCCCTGCCTTTATAGTGCTTCTGTTGTGCAGCTGGGTTGATGAGACTCACTTATCATTTTCATTGATTCTTATTAGACCTACATTTCTTCAAGTCTGAAAGAGGCAGTTGCTAAGGGGGAAATAAGTGCTCTCAGATTGCTCTCATACATTTTTAGTACAGTGCAATAGAACCAGAAATGACATCCCCTTCTCATTATGCATCAACATTAATCTTTGCTTACAAAATACTGTACTTATTATACTTTACTATCTGCATAGTTCGCATATAGTATGGGTTGATGATTCTCAAGATCAGTTGATCTATACTAGTGATGGGTAACCTTTTTGTTGTTGCATGCCGAAAGCGCATACATGCAACACCCTCTAATGCATAGGCGACACCCCCACATGCACCCCGCTTCTGTGCATGCCACATGCCCCCCATGGATGTCCTCTGCCCCCATACAAGTGCACATGACACTTCCCTGTGAAACCCTGCCCCCACACATGCATGGAAGACCCTCCCACGCCCCATTTTGAGCCTTCTAGGCCTCCCTGCAGCCTCCTGTAATATTAATAATTAACAAAACTCCTTACATCTGTTTTCTTATACTCTTTACACTGATAAAAAAGTGATATCCCATTAGTATGGACTACAATCATACTTTGAATAGTTGTTATCACCTTTCTGACACTGGAAGCTATTACATAAAATTTGCCACATTGTGATAGCATCTTATCCTTATCTGATAAATGTACAAAAAACTCAGATCTGAATTGTCTGAGATTTTTAACAAAAATGAAGTAATGTACTACCTCTGTAAAGAACAATTTCTGTAAAAAAAATACAATATAAAATGTGTGGATAATATTTTCAATTACTCCAGATCTACAAGAGCATAAACGCTTTTTTATAGAACGTCTATAACTGTCTTATAGATATGATATTATACCAAATATTGTTTTTATAATAAATTATTTTGGAGATAACAAAGAGAGAAGATAGGAAATAGATTTTCTTCTATGTGAATAACCCAGTATCTGATTCTGCTATTTTTAAGGATATGATATCTAGTTGGATCAGTATTTTTAAACTGTTGCTTCGTGACCTCCTTGAATTGCTGCATGCTCATAACCCAAAGAAAAAAAAGCACTTTAAGGGATCAATTTACTAAATGCAAGTTTAACACTATGGTCTACTTCTACTGGATAGAATCCAAAGATCAATAACAAGTGCTGTTCAACTTGTTTGAAATATGATTTTGAATGGTGGTAGCACAGATGAAACACTTTTTTGAAAAATGAAAGTAACAGACTCTTCTTTTTTCATATTAGTGCAACATAATCACATCTGCCGATTCTACATGCATGATGCACGCAGGGCCTCTTCAATTTATAATGTCTCTTGCTACCTCCCCACATGCAGACTGTATGTTCACTTGCGCACAGAAACAGCTGAAAACAGATTCTGAAACAGCTCCAAGAGCTTGAAAAAAGAGTCTGCTATTTTAATAATCCCAAAGGAGGTGTTTTTGCATGCACTCCAATGTCTTTTAAACTACTTCTTTAAAGGATTTGCTTAGCCTTATTCGTAATGATTTAACAAAATAACAGAGTTGGAAGGGACATTGAAGGTCTTCTAGTCATACCCTGCTCAAGCAGGAGATCTTCTACCATTTCAGACAAATGGTTGCCCACAACTTCTGAAGGCAAGTCATTCCATTGATTAATTGTTCGGTCAGAAAATTTCTTCTTATTTCTAGGTCAATTCTCTCCTTGATGTCCAATTCTCTCTTTTGAGACAGCCCTTGGGTATTGGAACACTGCTATTATGTCATCCCTAGTCCTCCCCCCCCCCCCATTAATCTAGACATACCCAATTCCTGCAACCGTTCTTCATGTTTTAGCCTCCAGTTCCCTAATCATCTTTGTTGTTCTTCCCTGCATTCTTTCTAGAGTCTCAACATTTTTTTTACATTGTGGCAACTAAAATTGCATTTAGAATCCCAAGTGGGGTCTTATCAAGGTATTAAAAATTCATATTAAAACTTCACATGATCTTGATCTATTCCTCTGTTAATGCAGCCTGTGTTAGCTTTGTTGGCAGCTGCAGCACCCTGCTAGCTAATATTTAAGCGATTGTCCACTAGGACTCTTAAGTTCCTTCTCTCAGTTACTACTATTGAGCGAGTTAGATCCGATACAGCAAAGAAGGAGTGGTTTGAGCACAGATATTTTTAATTCAAATTTAGTAGAAAAAAGTTTACCAAAAAGCATGGAGAAGAGAGATGATATTTTAACAGAGGTATTTCACTTTTAAACATAGCCTGAAGTCGTTCAGTGATTCATTGCTGCAGAGTACAGCAATCAAGAGTTCAAACGGAAATGTGAAATACTGTCAGTTTTTATTAGCTTTCTTAATTCAATAGACTGTTTTTCTTAACTTTTTTTTAAGTTAATATTTTGAAAATTGGTAAGATTGTGTGGAAGTTCCTATCATGTTGAGTTGGTGTAAAAATGAAAAAAAATATTGACTAGCAAATAAGACAGTGAAGCTACTAGTGCTCTTGAGTGCAGATGATCTCCAAATATAATTAATTCTCAAACCAAATGAGGTTGAAATTTGCCAGTCAAGCTTCTGAATGTGTAAATAATTGCTTTAGAGGTTCCTGTTATATATTACAGGGTTAAAGTAATAGATTTTGACCTTAAGATAAAAAGGGTAGCATAAAAATAATGCCAGAGCTTCTTTAAACCCTGGTCCACAAAGACAGAAATAGATGTGTATTTGTTAAAAAAAGATTGAGGATCAGGGGCTTTTATAAAAGTATCTCTTAAGCACAGCGGGATCCTCATATGCTTATTGTTGTTACAAACTAGAATGGCATAGTAGCTCACATTTCCAGCATTAACTTAAAAAATTGGATTTGAATTTCTGGGTCAGGTTATGACCCAAGGGATGACCCAAGGGATGTTGCTCAAACACTGATCTTTCTAGAGCAAGATCATTTTCCTTGGTATTGGTTGACAGTCAGATTCATTTGATCTGCCTGATATTTTTGGTCATGTTGATTAAATAAAAGTTTCGGAAGACTTCAAAAATGATCTCTCCATTCTTTACAGTATGGAAGCATGATTAGCTTATGATTTTAAATATTTTTTTAAATAAAAAAGTTGAGGACTAGATTCCTTTGGATTGATTTTACATTTCTATTTTTTTTTAAAAAAAATACTGAATTACTTAAAAAAAAAACCCTTTCTCTATATGGTAAGCTCATCCATCATCCCCACAGTCCCTAACTTGAAAAGGTATGCTTCCCACAAAGTTGTCATCAACTTTATTCATTTGTTTTTTCTCCTCTTCTTAGAACTACGCGATGATGCTTCAGCAGCAGGCTAATCAACATGAGCAAAACACCACTAATCAGCCTGATTTTGGAGCACATCTCACAAAGGAGAAACTTAATGCCCTTCGAGATGAGCAAGTTGGACAGCTATATGAACTAATGCGAGAGGCCACAAAAACCAAGAGACAGTTCAGTGTTTTAGATGATGGAGACAGCAAACATTAACACATTTTTTGAATTTCATTTTATGGTATGTCCTTTTTTTTGGTATTTCTTTCTAAATGGTTTTATTCTAAAGAATAATGGAAGATGATAAATATACATATGCATAATGAATTATCAAAAGTAGCTTTTGATCATCTATATATTATGTACAGCCTGCACTAAATGTGTAGAATAATTCAATATTTTGGACATTTCAGATGTATTAAATTTACCATATGGAGGAAATAGAATTAAAATGGCTTTGTACTAAGAATGTATTTGGTGGATGGTCAGAACATCAGAGAGGAAAGAACCTTGAACTGCATATTGATGTGTTCAAAGTTTAATAGTTGTTTTGCTTTTTAAAAGTAGAATACAGCTGTGTGTATTTTACATAATTTATTGTTTGATTCAAGTGTCTTGAAGACCATATGAAATATTTTTGAACTTACTTTTAAATACCAAAATCTGCCTTTTTTTGCCCAATATTTCTTTCCTACAAAAGAAATTTTGGTTTTTCTATTTCATTTTAAAGCACTGAAGTAGCAGATGGCATTGTTACTCTTCCTGTGATGCACCTTTGTATCATTCTTCAGCCTCCCATGCTGCTTTTGCTTTCTGTTCTGATAAAAGTTCCCTTGCCATGTCTTCCCTTGAGATTTAATTGGAATATAACAAGTCAAGTGAGCTCCAGGCTGCTGGGAAGAGGAGTGTTCAATGCGAGAAGAATAGCTTCAAAGTCCAGCTGTTTCTTTACTAAAAAAAAAAAACAACCCCGAAGAAATTCTTCATCCAAGTTTTAAGAAGAGAAGTTAAACTGAATAGGTGGACCTTCCTTTTATTTTATATGCACAATTCGCCAGAATCCAATAGAACACTCCTTGTTTAAAAATAGTTACGTTCTGGGTATTTTTTTTTACGTTCCATTTTTAAACAAATCAAATATGCATTCAGGGCTGGTGAAAAACAATCAAGTTTTATAAGTGGCAACTGGAAGTAAAAAGAAATTGATCTCTGGTTATATCATTAATGCTACACATAATTTTATATTGGGAATATCTGTTAGGGTTTGATGAGAACTAGGCGACTATAGTGATGACTTTGACCCAGAAGATCTAGATTCAGAATAACAGAGTTGGAAGGCACCTTGAAGATGTTCTAGTCCAATTCCCTGCTTGGAGCACTCACACCTTCTGAAGTCCATCTTCAGCCATGACAGCTCACTGAAACTAAACTACCTTTCATAAGGAACATGATAAATTAATAAAAACAGGCATTTTTACTTTGACAATAGTTTGTCCAAGATTTACCTTTTTATTTCTTTCTTGCGTTCCAGTTGAAAACACTTCCCATGATGACTGAACATGGTCTGAAAATTTAAGGAGAATTCCCATTGATACTTAAGGTTTTTTTTTTTTTAAAGAAAAAGCTCCAAACCAGTTATAGGAAACAGATTTTATTTAAAACCTGATTGAGGATCAAGAAGGCAAGCACTCCTTTGCTACATGTTTTTGGAATAAAAATCTCTGCCTTCTTGTAATTAATTATTGATACTAATTAAGAAAAGATAGCTAAAACTCACTACATAATAAATATAATGCATATTGTGGCTTTCAGACATCAGCATGAGTCTGATTTATATAACCTAGGTTTATGGGTGCAATAAATAATTAGTGCATTTAGTGTCACCATCCAGAAGCATGATGCCATATCCAGAGGCATGCTCCGCTCACAAATTTCAGGAGATTATTGGCTTGTAAGTTCTCACTGTTTGGAGGATGCTATCTTGGAGAACTGTAGCAATATTTTACTATGTGCTTCATATCTTGGGATCTGTCTTGATATTCAATTGATGTGGGGTTTTTTCTCCAAGATATTATATAGAGATCATGGAAAAAGGAAATGAAAACTCATTTACCTGGTCTGAGCCCTTTATCATCCAACATATATTAAAACTCTCTCAACTGTTTTAAATGGAAATAAGATTTTTCCCAGGTTTTAAAAAAATTAATCACTTATTTACAATCTTCCCCCAACATATTATTTTGACCTTTCTCAAAAACAATATTTTTACTTTGAATTCCTAGTTTCAAAATGATTTGGTGTAGAAATAACTTCATTGCAAGATTAAAATAGAAGTGACAGTGATTAAAATAGCTGAATATAACATTAGTTTCCATTAAAATGTCAAAAAGTACAAGTCTCCTGAAAATTAGTCTAAGTAATTAATTTAGTTTTCAATTTTATTTTAACTTTGAGTGTTAGCTAAATGAGTTGTTCTCACATAAGACAACACAGGTCTTCAAAAAAAAAATTTTGAGAGCTGTTTTGGTTATTCCACATAATCTTTATGTTTTTTGGTGCGCTGAATCTGAAAATGACCTCCATTTTTTCATAGGATATCATATTTCCTGACAATTTAGGTAACTATCTTCAATAAGGCCATACCTCAAAATAAATGGAAATAGACTTATAAAATTAAAGTTTTATTACAATATTTTCATGAAAATCCTTTTCTGAACTGAAATGAGCTCACCTACACACACTAAACTCGATTCTTCTTCCTTGTGAGGCTCCTCTTGGTGCATTTACGCTTGTGAGTAGCATCTGGAATGTCTCTCTAAAGCATCCAACAGTAGTCTGCCCTCATTGAAGTGCTCCATTTTCCCTGATATCTCCTTTCCATCTCTTTAATGTCTTGATGGAATCGTTCACCTTGTTCCTCACTCACAGTTCCCAAATTTTCAGGAAAGTAGTCAAGGTGGGGGAAATGCACTTTCAAACTCATCAGGCAATCTAAAGCTTGAAATGCTTTCAGCACTCTTCCGACAATCTTTTTGTAGTGAGGATCTTTGTTATTGCCTAAAAATTTCTGTACGACTTCTTTAAATGCAATCCACCCTTCTTTTTGAGGATCCGTCATGGTATTGACAAACTCTTGATCAACTATAAGCCTATCCCTCTACCTACCTACCTGCTCTCTCTTTTCCTACCTATCTACTGTATTTCTCTCTCTCTATCCCTCTACCTACCCACATACCTACCTACCCACCCACTCCCTACCTACCTTCTCTCCTCTACCTACCTACTACCTACCTACCCACTCTCTCTCTCGCTCTTCCTACCTACCTATTGTATTCCTCTCTCTCTCTCCTTCTATCTACCTACCTACTTTTTTAAAATATTGCCTCTTCAAAACCTTGGTGCGTCTTATACTCTGGTGCGTCTTGTACTCTGAAAAATATGGTATTTGCCATTTTTAGTGGGATTTTATTATTATTTACCAGGTAGCTAAGCAGGATACAGGTACCCTATTTCCTCAACTTGAGAAAGATCATTATGTTTCTTAGGCATCAATACCAAATTACTGCAGTATATACAACAGAAAGAAGTAGTTTGTAAATTTAGTTTAGAATTTCATCTTACAAGCTGTATGTTGAATTACCTGTATTTATTTTAGGATGGGATAGGCAGCATTTCTGTTAAGGGAGAATGGTTGCAGGCTTTATAACTTTAGTAGGTAGAGCTGAAATACTGGTCCTTTTGGGTTAATGGTGGGAATTTAAAAAATAAATGACTATATTAATCCTGGCGTTAAGCCCTTATTTTAGCAAAAAACTGAAACAGAAACTAACCAACCACAGGATATTTATTTAGGCAGCTGTTAATTGTATCCAGACCACAATTTATTCATTTCAATCCATAGATTGCTTACTGGAATGCAAATCAAAGCTTCAGGCTGACGAACCAATGATCAAACACACAAGAACACAGTATGACCATTGCTGTTATGTAAAGAGGAAATTTATTTTCTCCACTGCACTCCAAAAAGGACATACTGGTATATATTAAATTCAGTCATTAATAATGGGACAGTCCATTTATTGACAGACTTGGAATAATAATATTCTCATGAATCTTTGATTTGGACAAATGTATTGGTCTCCTCTTTGTTTCCAGCCCCAGTGCAAAGTTGGTTTGCTGTTTTCTTTTAAGATTCTATACCCTTGTATCCTGCTTTTCTCACAATCTTCCTCCTCCCCATTACTTTGATACCCTCAGGTTTTCTTCCTGCAGAATCCTTGCTTTAGGAGGAAATTTAAGAAGAGTAGTAGAATAGGACGAACTCCCAGTTTTCCATTAATCTCCCCCTCACCCCATGGCTCATGATCTATTGCTGAATTCATTTAATTACCTTCCTATTCAGTATATTAAATGGAAAATTCAAAAAGGTTTATAATTTAGTATAAAGGCAGTTACATCTTCCAGGTATGGGTTTTAGTGTGCGTGGGGCTGTGCGCTTTTAAAATAATAAGCTTGAAAAGTACAAGTAATCATAAAAATATAGCTTGATTATAATAAAGCAATGTACCTAATAAAGGGAATGAGTGGGACTTTTGAAATGTCATAATAATCATAAAGAATTCTTAGAAAGGCTGCCCAAACTTTTTATCTATTTCCTGGAATAACCCTGCCCAGTCAGAAAAACATAATCAAAGCCCAAAGTGGAGGTTTCTCTGGCTACATTATGAATCTGCTTACCTAAAATAAACTAATTTTGGAATGAATAAATGAGCTAATCCACATCTGTTCCTTTTAAACTTTTGACCAATTCCAGATTTCAGACCTAATTGCTTTCTTATAATGCCTTTCTTGTTTTCTGCACTGCAAGGTAGACAAGATAAGAGAACCGACTCTACAGGATTGTCCTTTATTGAGATACTTTATAGTAATAGATAACTTCATTTAGCAACTGTGAACAGTTACTATGCTGGTGAAAAAAATAATTAAGAAAAAACCTTGAAAATAAGACCATAAGTTAATAGCAATAGCACTTAGACATATACTGCTTCACAGTGCTTTACAACCCTCTCTAAGCGGTTTACAGAGTCAGCCTATTGTCCTCAGCAATCTGAATCATAATTTTATTGATCCTTGAAGAATGGAAGCCTGAGTTAACCATGAGCCAATGACAATCCAAGAGCCAAGGTGGCGCAGTGGTTAAATGCAGCACTGCAGGCTACTGCTAGATCAGCAGGTCAGCGGTTCAAATCTCACCGGCTCAGGGTTGACTCAGCCTTCCATCCTTCCGAGGTGGGTAAAATGGGGACCCATATTGTTGGGGGCAATAGG